TCACATCTAAGAGCTTCGTCACAACAAAGAGAGAGATTTTAGGTTTAGAGTTATGAAAGTGTCACATTCAAGTTTCGTTTGGGGATTAAGCAGCCCAATGTTACTCAAGAGCCCATTTGCCCACTAGATCACCTGTCCACGTCACATAGGTTTTTGCTTACACGAAATAATCAATAGAAGAATCTCAATTACAAAAATTTATGGACTACTAAATGCACAAGTCTGACGTTAAATAAATTATTGTTTAAGTCTACAACTATTGACTAGTATAGTATATATGAATTATAGTAGGTTTTTGTTATGTATGGTCACACTTCCATGAGGATGAATAAACTCTTAAAATTTTCAACTCTTATATCATTTTATGTTTAGTATTTACTAAATATCTTTTCTAACAACACGAATTAGTCATGGATATAGATGTTATGAATCTCACATCAATTTATCTGTATAGATACAAAATAAGTACGCGTACCTTAATTTTCTACGAGATCCGTATATTGACAAAAAAACGATAATATGAGATCAACTCTCTAACCACGCATATATGATATATAAAAAAAATAATTAATGCACACACGATAGATTCGTCCATGGGGTTATTAATGGCTCTCACACGTTGGAGTGTTGTTATCAACTAATGGAACTATTGAAGCTAAAACAGACAAGTGTTGCAGTTGTGTTATTATTATTTTTTTTGCATGAACTTGTATTTCTATTTCATTTTGTGTATTTATAAATTAATTGGTGTGTTTGAATTGGACTTCTTATGTACTTGTGGACCCGTAAACGCCACATGAAATTTGCATGCACCATTCAACTCGTAAACCAGTTACATACACATAATTAAGTTTTCATCATCGGGATATATTTTTCGAATCGTAATCTGGACAGTCTTCGGATTTTGCATACATCATGTGAAATATGTAATGACCAACAAATGGAAAATCTATTTACATGTACATATATGATATATGTTAACCAAAACACTATATCTATATCTTTCATTTCTTTCAAGCATAAAGCCATTATACCTAACAATTGAAAACCATTTTAAATATCAATTATGTGTCTACCCACAAGAAAACCAAAAACATGGAATAATTATATGATATGTTAATTATATTCGTCGTGATTAGTTGGGAATATGATACCCCAACCATACAGTTTATATATAATCATATATATTTGTTTCTACATCAAATCTCTAATTTGAGAACTAATTCCTTTTAGCTTGATTCCAAAGTTCTTAAAACCACTAATAATGAGTTTGTTAGTTGTCAATTCTGATCCCTACTAAACTAATTCATCGTTTTCTTAGTTGTCTTTTTCTTTGCTATATCTTCTAATTTTTCTTATAGTATCAAAGATATGCACATCGATCCAACAAAGAATTGAACAAAGTAATATCATAACTAATTTTTAGGATATTACCATTACGGTATAAATTACATAGTGGCTCAATACATGCTCTGATTTGTGTGTTTTAGCAGAAATCTCAAACGACAATTCATACGAATCTCAAACCAAACAGCATATGCTTTGCAGAAAGACAAAAAAAAAAAAACTTTAATATCGGCCAATGAAGCAAGAACCATGATAATATGAACATTTGTTTTAAAATTCGTGTGTTTGTTTCTATTAATATGAAAAAATCACTAATCTCGACCAATATATATGTAGGACAAGAAAATTGACTTTGAAAAAAAAGAGTGAATATTAATAGTGAATAGAACCAATAAATATAGACCACAAGGCATAAAACATAAAACCACGACCATCCACATTGGAGACCAAACGTGGATGTCTCTAAATAAAAAAATATTAAAAACACATTCTTTCTTATTTTTACTCAACTTTATATCTTCTCTTTCATCATTTTACTCAATTTTTATTAATTTTATATTTAAACACACTTCAATTTTCATCCATTCTCTCTCCAACTTTGTCTTCCCCGAGACATCCTCTCTCCAATAATACCCACTATCTCATCTCTTTACTCAAATTTTATTAATTTTATATTTCAATACATCTCATTATTTCAACCAAAAACACTCTCTTTCTTCCTTTTACTCAACTTTTAATAATTTTATATGTAAAGATGTATACAAAATGTCTCCAATGCTGATGCTCTAATAGTGACAATTCACTTGCTACATATATAAATAATATTTTTAGTTTTTTACCAAGAACATCTTGGACCAACCACATCATCATCTCTCTATAACTCTCTAAATAGAGTCGCCCATAAATCCATTTATAACTCTTTGATCACAACTAGACATTTTTTTTTGCCTTCCCTCATATTTTACTCACAAGTCACGAGAAGAAACAAATCAGAAAGATTTGATTTCAGATCGAATCAAAAGATCAAAGCTCTGAAGGAAAGAGTAAAGGGAAACACAAAAAATACTCCTTGTGGGTTCTTAAAGAACATGAGGGATTTTGGTTCCCTCTTCTCCATTTCTTTCGTCATCCGATTTGAGCAAGAAGACGAATCTTGAAGGTGAACTTATCAAATCTTGTTATCTACTCTGTTTCTCAAAGATGGGTCGGATGTTACTTGAGCCACAAGCAAACGCACCGGTGGAAGCGAACCCTAAAAACAGAGGAGGCTACTTCGACACCAACATGGTCATCATTTTAGCTGCTTTACTTTGTGCTTTAATCTGTGCTTTAAGCCTCAACTCCGCTTTGCGCTGTGTGCTACGCATCACAAGGAGATTCACTTCGGATGATCAAATCACAGACGCTTCAAACGCAAACGCGAATTCGGGACGTTTAGCAACTACCACGGGTCTCAAGAAAAGGGCATTGAAACAAATTCCCGTGGGATTGTACGGACCAGGGACCACTAACATGAAAGCAACAGAGTGTTTGATCTGTCTCGGAGATTTCGTGGAGGGAGAGAAAGTTAGGGTTTTGCCAAAATGTAACCATGGCTTTCACGTGAGGTGCATAGACACTTGGTTCCTATCACGTTCATCTTGCCCTACATGTAGACAATCGCTTCTCCTTGAGCAACCGTCGCCGCCGCCGCTGGATGGTGGTTCCCGGCGGGATGATGAGGTGGCAGTTTCCGTCATATAGAGACATAACTTGCTTGATAGTGATTTCTTAACTTTGATGTGTTTCAGTGGGT